TTCTTGGTCCTTTTTCAGTAATTATTAAATACAAGAGAGAAATAATTGTTTCTCTCTCTCTCTCTCTCTTTTTTTTTTTTTGGTGAGGCTATTGGGGTTAAGTGACTTGCCCAGAGTCACACAGCTTGTGAGTGTCGTTTCTCTTGTATACAGAATAACTTGGACATAATCAAAAGAGGGAAGCCACTAGAATTAAGAAGGAGTCAGGAAAGGATTCATGTAGAAGAAGGGATGGTAGCTGGGACTCAGAGGAAGTCAGGAGGTAGAGATGAGGGAGAGCATTTCAGGCATGGGAGATGGCCAGTAAAAATGCCTAGAGTGAGGAGATGGAGAAATAGCAAAGAGACCAGTGTCACTGGATTAAAGAGTATGTGTAGCCCAGTGGGAGGGAAAGTCTTATGAAAACTGGAAAAGGGGGGAGTCATGGGGCAGCTAGGTGGCACAGTAGATAGAGCACTGGCCCTGGAGTCAGAAGGACCTGAGTTCAAATCTAGCCTCAGACCAGACATTTGACACTTACTAGCTGTGTGACCCTGGGCAAGTCACTTAACCCCATTGCCTAGCCAAAAGAAAAAGGTGGGGAGGGAGTTGGGTTTGAAGGGCTTGAAGGCCTGTCAGAGGATTTTATATTTATCCGAGAGCTGGTAGGGAGCCACTCAAATTTATTGAGTAGAGTGCTTGACGATCACTTTGGCAGCTAAGTGGAGTGGGGATAAACTGTGGCAGGCAGACCAACCAGCAGGCTATTGCAGTGATCCAGATGTGAGGTAATACAGGCCTGCACCAGTAGCGACAGTGTTGGAGGAGGGAAAGGGGCATCTTGGAGAGATGTTATGAAGGAAAATTAACAGGCAATGGCAACAGATTGTATATGGGAAGTGAGAGAGAATGAGAAGTTGAGGATGACACCTAGGCTGTGAGCCTGGGTGACTGAGAGAATGTTGGTACCATTAGTAATAATAGAGAAGTTAGGAAGAGGGGAGGGTTTGGGGGAGAAGATTGTGAGTTCTGTTTTGGACATGTTGAGCTTGAGACGCATACAGGACATCCCATTTGAAATGTCCATAAGGCAGCTGGGGATGCAAAACTGGAGGTCAACAGAGACATTAGGGTTGTATAAGTAGATTTGAGAATCATCAGCGTGAAGATGATTGAGCTGATGAGAAAACCAAGTAAAACAGTATAGAGGAAGAAGGCAAGAGGGCCTAGGACAATATCCTGTGGGACACCTCCAGTTAGTGGGTATAACCTGGATACAAGTCCAGCAAAGGGGACTGAGAAAGAGTGGTCAGATAGGTAGGAGGAGATCCAGGAGCAGCCTATAGTAGGATTGGGACTGACATTTCTGCAGTGGAACAAAGAAAGCCAAGGACAGGCAACAACCAAGGATATTGACAAGAAATCTGCTTCATTATACGAAGTTCTTGCCTTGTGACTCCTGATTCATTTTCCCTCTGTGCTTTGGGACAGCCCATGAATTCTCAATATAGACACTAGAAGACTCCTGATAGGAGAAAAGTAGTTATTAAAAACCCATCAAAAACAAGCAGAAGGTATTTTAAAACCAGTCATTTGGACAAACCTAGTAAATGTCCATATTGTACCAGGTTCAGGAATTTCAAAAGGCCTGAAAAAAGTAGTTGCCACTGTCGTAGTATGGCTGAAATGTTTTCTGAAATGAATTCCTGTGGGGTCCTAAGCCACTGGTCACCAAGTTAAAGGATTGGTGAAAACAGCTGAGAGATGGTCAGAATTTTTAGTTGGTTTTATTCAAAGAAAATCGGAAATGAAGTTCACTTGATTCAAGGAGGCCAAGTATACACTAGGAGGGATGATCTTGACTAACCATGTGCACACAAGGTTGTTGGCAAATGAGGTACTGCTGTATCAATAGCCTCCAGTCGCTTAAAGCACTGGAGCTGTGCAGACAGCTTGCCTGGAACATGCACTTGATGGAATTTGGTGTTTCTATCTTTTTGAAGCACTTTTTCCCAAAGGTTTTAGAGGTGTCTTGTCGACAGCTTTTCCCTGAAGTTCCTTGGCCTGAGAGAAGTATGGATACCTTTTACCTCACAGAAATCATGCTCCAAGTCCTAGTTGAAAACACTAGGGGACGAGCCAGGGACTTTAGTATTTAATAGCTTGAAGTTGCTTCATTACAAAAAAGTGCTTTCTAAAATGTGAGGAAAAGTTGGTAGCTGCTTCAGAATCGTAAGGGGAAAGAGCCTCATATCTTTGTAATGATCAATAAAGTTCTTGTTTATTTTGTCTTTATTGTTATCTGAAGGAATCTGACTTCTCTTTTGTGATACTGCCTGGCATCTTGTTCCTATTCTGATAGCATATTATTAGCATTTACTATCTAAGAAGGTCAAATTATTTGTCCAAGGTCAGGCAGCTAGTTGGAGATATTTAGGACTAGAACTCAGGTGTTCTAGTTGTTAGGTTCTTTGCAGAATATCATTCTCTATTTGCTTAATATGAATGTAATATCTACCAAAAAAAGAGTCTGGGGAAGAGTTTCACAAAACCATCATCACTCCTCCTAAAATTGAAAATAAAGAATCTTAGAGTTGGAATTGGAGAAATATTGATTGCTAATGGATAGGCCAAGCCAATATAATAAAAAAACAAAAACAAAAAACAATTCTCCCTAAATTAAGTTACTTCTTTGATAAAGGTCTCATTTCTCAAATATATAGAGAACCAAGTCAAATTTATAAGAATATGAGTCATTCATTCCTCAATTGATAAATGGTCAAAGGATATGATCAGGCAGTTTTCAGATAGAGAAATCAAAGCTATCTTTAGTCATATGAAAAAATGCTTTAAATCACTATTGATTAGAGAAATGCAGATGAAAACAACTCTGAGGTACCACTTCACACCTATCAGATTGGCTAATATGACAGAAAAGGAAAATGACAGATGTTGGATGGGATGTGGAAAAATTGGGACACTAACACACTGTTGGTGGAATTGTGAACTGATCCAACCATTTTGGAGAACAGTTTGGAACTATGCCCAAAGGGCTTTAAAACTGGGCATACCCTTTGACCCAGCAATACTACTACTAGGTCTGTATCCCAAAGAGATCAAAGGAAAAGGATCTACATGTACAAAAATGTTTGTAGCAGCTCATTTTGTGGTGGCAAAGAATTAGAAATTAAGAGGATTCCCATCAATTGGGAAATGGCTAAACAAATTGTGGCATGTGATTGTGATGGAACACTATTGTACTATAAGAGATAATGAGCAGGATGGTTTCAGAAAAACCTGGGAAAACTTATTTGAACTCATGCAAAGTGAAGTGAACAGAATCAGGAGAACATTGTACACAGTAATAGCAATATTGTACAATGAACACCTGTGAATGACTTCGCTGTTCTCAGCAATGCAGTGATCTGAAGCAACACAACTCTGAAGGACTTATAATGGAAAATGACATCCATCCCCAGAGGAAGAACTAATGGAGTCTGAATGCAGATCAAAGCATACTTTTTTAAAACATGTAATTGAGAAATATTTAATGATATAAATAAGTATCTGTTGGGGACAACATGCACCCATACAAGAATTTTAGAGTTGGAAAGAACCTCAGTGACCGTATAGTCCAATATACACCTGAAAAGAAACCTGCGCTATAACCTACATGATCTTGCAGCCTCTTCCTGAAAATCTCTAATGAGGGGTTGCTGTCTTCTTCACTATCTCATTCTGCTTCTGCGCTATTCTAATCATCAGGAAATTTACTAGTTATGTGACCTTAAGCAGATTATTTTGTTGCCCTGGGCCTTACTTCCTTCATCTTCAAAACGGGGGCTTGATACTAGTTGATTTTTAAGTTCTGTCCATATTTTATGATTCTGCTTGTATCAGTCAGTGAACAAATATGTCCTCCTGTCTTTGAGGCTGCCATTATCCAAAGGTAGACTGTTACAGTAGGGCAGAAATCCTGGGTTCACATCCTGGCTTGATACTTCCTGCCTGTGTGAACTGACAAATTCCTGAACATCTTTCAGCCTCAGTTTTCTTATTTGTAAAATGAATAGAAATGAAATAAGTGACCACTGAGGTGTTCTTTCCATCTCTGAATCTAAGAATGATCCTGTGATCTGGGTCCAGCTTTCAAAAGTCCTCGTTTTACCCTAAAAGTCAGTGTTTCAGAAGCAAGTTTAAGTGCTGGTAGGAAGACAAGGTTGGAAAAATTCAAGCCTCCCATTGAAGTAGACATGAATGTATCTGGCACAAGACACTTTGCTTTTCTCATGGCCAGCAGATGGCAGCAATGGCGTGTGGGCTATCCTAATGATTCTATTACCAGAGGCTCTTCTCCCAGGTAGACTATTATATTAAACTAGTCAAGTTGCCTTCATTAAAAGCCGTTACCCCTTGTCTGGTTGCTGCCTTAAGTACTTCAGTCTTCACTAGGCTGATCTAGAGTGAGGTGGGGGTGGGGGCGGGCATGGACCAGACATAATTTCTCCCTTCAAAGGCTTCAGACTAGGAGAACTTTTAAATGCATTCTTGATATTTATAAAAGTGGGGTAGAGAAAGGAGGTTTATCTGCTTCTACCCAAGTACTAAGAACCCTAGAAGAACAGTATTATGTTATCCGTTGTTCCATGCAGTGATCCACTGACAAGATGTGGATGCCCTGGCCCAAGAACATGACTTACCTCTACCAAGAGTGTAATGTCAGCTGCTTGAGGAGAGTGACTTTTGTTTTTGTGCCCTCAGCACCCAGCCCGGTGCCTTGCACATAGTAGACACTTAACAAGGATTTATTGAACTGGTGAAATTCTACAGAGGACTACAGAGAGAGAACTTGCCCAAGTTCTGTCAGGACTCAGGTCTTCGCTTTCAAGTCGGCTTCTCTTCCAATTATATTCTCGTCCTCTCCCCTTTTCCTCTGACTGAGGGCATGTCCCTCAGAAGACTTCCTCTAGACACTCAGTAGAGCCGTGATTGCTCATCTCACTCTTCCATCTCTCTTCTAGGGTTATCAGTTTGAAGAAGAGAACCCACTTCGGGACCATCCCCAGCCATTTGCAGAGGGGCTGCTGCGGCTGCAGGAGGGGGACCTGCCAAATGCAGTCCTTCTCTTTGAGGCTGCGGTGCAGCAGGATCCTGAGCACATGGAGGTGAGTGAGCTATACGTTTGAGCCCCCCATGGCTCTCCTACTTCAGAGCATTGAGGAGGGGCAGGGTGGCAGCTAGATGGTGACATATTTTTTCTTTTTTGCCTTACACATTTTCTTTTTTTAAAATATATTTTTGTTTTGTTAAATATTTCCCAATTACATGTAAAAAAATTTTTAACATTCATTTTTTAAAATTTTGAGTTAGAAATTCTCTCCTTCCCTCACACCCTTCCCCACCCTTTGAGAAGGCAAGCAGTATGATATCTGTTATACACGTGAAATCCTGCAAAACATATTTCCATTTTAGCCATGTTGCAAAAGAACACACATTAAAAAAAAAAAAACACCAAGAAAAATAGAATAAAAAAAAAGTATGCTTCAGTTTGTACTCAGAGGTCATAGATAAGTAATTTGGACTAGAGCTTAGGGGAAAAGGTTAGAAAAATAAGATAAAGTTTATCAATCCTTTACCTCCTTCTCTGGGCACATCTTAAGGATTTATGGCTTCTTTTGACCTCCCTACAGGCCTGGCAGTACCTGGGTACCACCCAAGCAGAGAATGAACAGGAACTATTGGCTATAAAGTTTATCAATCCTTTACCTCCTTCTCTGGGCACATCTTAAGGATTTATGGCTTCTTTTGACCTCCCTACAGGCCTGGCAGTACCTGGGTACCACCCAAGCAGAGAATGAACAAGAACTATTGGCTATCAGTGCCCTTCGAAGGTGAGTACCATGAATGATAAGAGACATGACACCAGTCCTGCATTTAAATCCTTTGTAGTGATGAGAGCCCAGACCTAAGCTGCTTGAATTACTTCTGGTCCTTCGAAAGAGCACATTCTTTTTATTTTTTAAAATAATATTTTCCCCCCCTCGATTACATGCAAAAACAATTTTTAAAATTCTATTTTAAGATTTGAGTTCCAAATTCTACCTTTCCTTTCTTCCTCTCCCCCTCCCTGAGACAGTAAGCAATGTGATATAATTATACATGTGCAGTTATGTAAAACATACTTCTGTATTTTTGGGAAGAAAACTCAAACCAAAAAAATAAAAAAATGAAAGGAGGAAAGAAAATGAAAAATAGTATGCTTGGGTCTGTATTTAGACTCCATCAGTTCTTTCTCTGGATGTGGATAGCATTTTTCATCATGAATCCTTTGGGATTGTCTTGGATCATTGTATTGCTGAAAATAGCTAAGTCATTCGTAGTTATTCCATTGTATAATATTGTTGTTACTGTGTATAATGTTCTGGTTCTGCTCACTTCATTCTGCATCAGTTCATGTAAGTCTTTCCAGGATTTTCTGAAATCTGTCTGCTCATCATTTCTTATACCATAATAATATTCCATTACCATCATATATCACAACTTGTTCAGCCATTCGCCAATTGATGGTCATCCCCTCAATTTCCAATTCTTTGCCACTACAAAAAGAGCTGCTAGGAATATTTTTGTATAAATAGGTCCTTTTTCCTTTTTTTGGATCTCTTTGGGATACTGACCTAGTAGTGGTATTGCTGGATCGAGGGTATGCACAGTTTGATAGCCCTTTGGGAATAGTTCCACATTGAATAGAACACATTCTTTTTTTTTTTTTTAAACAATTGGGGTTAAGTGACTTGCCCTTAGTCACACAGCTAGTAAGTGTCAAGTGTTTGGTCTGAGGCCGGATTTGAACTCAGGTCCTCCTGACTTCAGGGCCGGGGCTCTATCCACTGCGCCACCTAGCTGCCCCTAAAACACATTCTTAATGCTAGAATGTGAATGTTGCATCTGGATGGGAGCGTGTTCTGTTGCCATATCAGCCCATGTCACTGTGGGGCCCCAACTGAGCCTCTCTAAATCTTCAGTTTCCTCTTAGACCTGTGACTAGAGGACAGGCTAATGTTTCTTTAATACCTTTAAGTCTTGAATCTAGAGAATCCTCTGGTTGGTGGTGAGTTAGTCAGGTAACATGAATCTGTTGATTCTGTATCCCAGGCTTTGGTGCCCAGTGGCCATGGATGTGATTGGTTGTGCAAACTTTACCTCTGTAGCTCACACAGTATTTGGACTAATTTACTTTTTAACCTCTTATCTCCTTCCCCTCTCCTGTGCCCCCTCACTCCTCAATCCCCCATTCCTATCTTACTGCAGATGTCTGGAGCTAAAGCCAGATAATCTGACAGCACTAATGGCACTGGCTGTGAGCTTCACTAATGAATCCCTACAGCGCCAGGCCTGTGAGACCCTGCGGGACTGGCTACGATACACACCTGCCTATGCCCATCTGGTGACACCTGCTGAGGAGGGAGCTGGTGGGACAGGGCTGGCTCCAAGCAAGCGCATCTTGGGTTCTTTGCTGTCTGAGTGAGTGTGGGGTCCTATTGAGGCTGTGTGATGGAGGCCAAGGTTGGGGTGAGGAATGATAAATTGGAATCCAAGAAGCTACACACTGACTGTGCAGCCTTGGGCAAGCTCCTTTACTTCTCTGGGCCTCAGCTTTTTCATATGCAGAATGAGTCAGAGTCTAGGTCTAGTTCAGGGGTTATTAACCTTTTTTGTGCCATGGACCCCTTCTCAGAGTAATGTTTTTAAATGCATAAAACAAAATATATAGGATTATAAAGAAAACCAATTATATTGAAATTAGAGTATTTCAGTTAGAGTATGTTTTAAAGCATTATTTAAAAATTCACAGACCCCAGGTTAAGAACCCTTGGAGATAATCTCTGAGGTTTGTTCCGGGTATGACATTCTATGATTCTTCTAGTTGGTATTGTTGAACTGGAATATCAGGGAGATTCAGATCCAAGGTCTCAGTGGAGGAATGGAAACCTTACATTTAACAAGAAGTTCAATTAGTATACTAAGGTGCAAGAATGAAAAGAGATTTTGAAAAGGGTGTTTAGCCACTGAGGTTGGGATGGTTTGAGTGGCTGAAGGGGAGGTAATTTAAAAGGGTCGGTCAGTTCGGCCTATGTTGAGGAAATGGGATCAGCTAACTTGAAGGTGACTATGCCCTTCTAATTTTTCTTTTCTTTCCCTCTCCCAGCTCCTTATTTGTGGAGGTAAAGGAATTGTTCTTAGCAGCTGTACGACTTGATCCTGCATCCATTGACCCCGATGTGCAGTGTGGCCTGGGGGTCCTTTTCAACTTGAGTGGAGAGTATGACAAGGCTGTGGACTGTTTTACAGCTGCCCTCAGTGTTCGCCCGAATGTGAGCCCAGGGCACGGGGAGAAAGGGGTGGTATGTAGAAACGTGAGGCCAGCTTTGGACCCAAATGGAGCCACTAGTCCCCACTAGTCCGAAGACATGGTCCACACTTGGGAGAACTAGAAATGAGGTGCATATTCAGAATCATAAGGGTATAGTGGGGATCAGAGTTGCAGGTGACCATGGGCTTTAAGTAAAGTTGGGGGGGGAGAAGGAATTCAGTTCTGGAGTCACGACTGATCATTGATCAGCACTCCTGAGTCTTGCAGAATTGTTCATTTTCCTCATATTAAAGTTATATGTGTAAGATAAAATTCAGCTAACATTTAAGTACTTACCATTTATCAGGTGTTGTGCTTGAGCTAGAGACAGAAAGGTTAAGAAATGTCATTGTGCTTCTCAAAACTTATACATAAACCTGTGAGCTAAGGAGCTTAGAGTTAGTAGCACGTATGTATGACTAATTATATTACATCTCCTGTGTACTTACTGGTGTCATAAAAAATTCACGGAGAAAGAGATCACTGGGGGAGTAAAGGAAGGCTTCATGGACAATGGAGCAACTGAACTGCGTCTTACAGGAAGAGGATTTTAAATGTTAGCTAACAAGCATTTATTAAGCACCTTCTGTGTTCTTAGACTTGGATACAAATAGGAAAGTAAGATAGTTCCTGTTCTCAAGAAGCTTACATTCTACAGTAAGGATGTCGTATATTTATAGATAGGTCAATGAAGGTTATAAAATAAATAATATCTGGGGAATCAGGAAAGGGCTGTTAAGGGAGGGGACATTTGAACTTAGGCTTGAAGGAAACCGGAGATCTCAAGGTGCATAAGTGAAGAAGAAGATCAGTCCAGGCATTGGAGAACAGCCAGTACAAAGGTATGGAGATGGGATATGGAAATTCATGTGTAGAGAACAGCAGATAGACCAGTTTGGCTATAGTATAGCATGCAGACCAAGAAGTAGTGGGCAATTAGCTTGGACATCTAGTCTGGGACCAGATTATAAGTGGCAATAGGGAACCGCTGAAGCTCTCTGAAAGTAACAGGAAGTAACAGTCAGACTTGTACTTTGAGAATATCCGTTTGGCTGCTTTGTGGAAAATGGACTGGAGGCAGACGCCAATTCACTCTCTGTTGCAGTACAGGTGAGAGGGGCCTAGGTGGTTACCTGGTGAGTAGAGAAGGGGGGATATATGCGTGAGATATCATTGAGGAATAATCAATAAGATTTGATAGCTTGTTGGATGTGGGGTAAGGCAGAGAGAAGAGTCTTAAGAACAAACCTGAGTGACTGAGAAAATGGTGGTGCTTTTGACAGAAATAGGGAAATTAAGGAGGAATAGGTTTAGAGGGAAGATAGTGAATTCTGTCTTTGACATATTGAGGTTGCAGTGTCTATGGGATGTTGAGGTTGAGATGTCTAGCCAACAGTTTGATATGTTATAACTGGAGTTCAGGAGAAAAATGAAGGCTGAATATGTAGGTTCAAGAAATATCTACCTAGAGATTATTATCTAACCCAAGGGAGCTGGTGGGATTGCCGAGAGAAGAACAGGATGGAGTCCTGAGGGACACACATGCATGGGGGCAAGATGTAGATGAATAGGTAGGATGAGAACCATGTGTGGTATCACAAAAAAGCCAAGAGGAGAGAATACTAGAAGTAGGGGGTCTTCAGCAGTGTCAAACACTGTAGAGAGGTCAAGGAAGCTAAAGACAGAAAAATCCATTGGGATGGACTTCATTCATGTAGAGGATTGATTGCCTGTGCAAATGTATAGTGGTGTGGAAAGGGTAGGACAAGTTTGGGCATTGGTTGGTTATGGGAGGGAGAGTAAGGTGAAATATGGCTGGAAAGGTATGAAGCTAAATTGGAACCAGGTTGTAGAGGGACTTCTATTCTGGAAGTCCTGGAACCTGCTGAAAGTGACTTGATTTAGCCCCTAACACTGAAATAAAATTATTAAAGAAAGCCTGAAGGCCCAGTTATCCAAACCTAAAAGATCCAAGGTGGTCTAACCCCATCAGGTAAAGGCCAGTGTAGAAACTCAGGAAACCCAGAGAAAGGCCAACCATTCCACTGAAAGACTGGAAGGGAGGAACCTGGTTCTGGCATTCAAGATCTAAAGGTGGACAGATGAATAAATGAAAGAAAGTACCATTCAATATTAAAATGCTCAAATGTAAAGATTCCCCAAAAAGGAGTGAGTAACATACTACATAACAACTACAAGCAGAGACTTAAAGGACTGGCAAGGACTACATGAATACTTAGAAGAAATGAAACAAAAGATAAAAAAAATGAAAGAAAAGCTTTAAAGGAAAGAATTGGCAGTAGCTTAGAAGGAGAAATAGACCAAGAAATAGACTACCTGAAAACTAGACTAAAGCAAAAAGAAATCAATGACTCCATGATTCCATGAAGACAAGGAATAGTAGAATAAGATCAAAAGATAGAAGAAAATGTAAGATACCTGGTATAAAAAATAATTGACTTGGAAAATAGGTTAAGGAGAAATAATTTAAGAATTAGACTCCCTGAAAACCATGATTAAAAAAAAAAGCCTAAATACTACCCAGATCTATTGGAACTAGAGAGCAAAGTAAAGATCGAAAGAACCTATGATCACATAGTGAGTGGAATCCCAAAAGTTAAAATCAAATTTGCCTCAATTTAACAAGTATTTCCTGCTATGGACCTTGACCAAAGAGTAAGACCTTAAATAGTCTTAACCCCTAATTCAGAGAATCGCTATATGTAGAAGAAACCTGCTTCCTAATACTGGCTCTGACACTTAATTGCATGACCTTGTACAAATCACTTAAATTCTGGGTCTGAATTTTTTCATTTGTAAATTTAGGGAATCAGACTAGATGATCTTTAAGGTCATTTTCTGCTCTAAATCTTCTGCTGCTATGCTAGGTTAAGGTGTTTATTTTCTATCCTATCAGTGGTGACAGCGATTACATAGGTAATGACAGAGAGCAATGAGATTGAGTAAAGAGTGAGCAAGATTGAACTAGTCCTGATCTCACATCTTGCTCTCTGTTCCTTTTCCCATGTATTTCCCACTTTCTCGTGCCTGCAGGACTATTTGCTGTGGAATAAACTGGGAGCCACCCTGGCAAACGGAAATCAGAGTGAAGAAGCGGTGGCTGCATACCGCCGGGCCCTGGAACTACAACCAGGCTATATCCGCTCCCGATATAACTTGGGGATAAGCTGCATTAATCTTGGAGCTCACAGGTGAGAGCACATCTTTCTTCAACTTTTTAGAACCTTAATGCATGACTTCCCTGTATTTCTAATTAGTGGTGACCAGTTCTTTTGGGTGATTTGCCAGCATTAACTGGTCAATTGGCCTATTTCTCTTGTCATTCTCCTAGAGAAGCTGTGGAGCACTTCTTGGAGGCATTGAACATGCAGCAGAAAAGCCGAGGTCCCCGGGGCAAGGGAGGTGCCATGTCGGAGAATATCTGGAGTACTCTGCGCATGGCACTGTCTATGCTGGGCCAGAGCGATGTCTATGGGGCAGCAGATGCTCGGGACCTGCCCACTCTGCTTCGTACATTTGGCCTGCCCCAGTGACAGTGGGATGGGCTGCCCTGTGAGTGTTCTCCCTGAGGGGTCCCCGCTCCTGCTGTGACTCCCTCCCTCCCAAAGGGTCTCCCAAGAGGGTGGGCTGATAACCACATGCGGTACGGCTTCTCAGGAGGTGCCTGGGGAAGTGGAGAAAGGTCAGGTGGTCAGATATTTTATTCTCCAGTTAATTGTGGGGAATTGAGCCTGTCTTTTTCCTGGGTCCTCTTGGCAGTTAGAGGGTTTCACATCAAGCTATGTATCTATCTCCCTGATCGTTATGCCCTGCCTTTTTGGATCTGCCATTTGGGTAGGGCTCAACATAATAGGGTGGACCCCCCCTCCAACAGCTACTTATTGTAGAAACTATCACACATGAAATGACCCTTCCCACCCCCATTCTCTTTTACTGGGAGTTTGTCACATCACAGACTTTGAGTAGTGGGTTTCCCCTCCACCATCAGTCCCTATGTATTTCTGGGATGGGATTTCCGTTAGGGTGCCCTGTATGAGTTAAATATTTGGCCCAGCGGAGGTGAAGTTCTTGTAGGTTTTGTCTGAAGCTGTGTTCCTTTTGAGCTGCCCCTGGCTGTGGGGTTATGAGCATGAGGCTGCATGCACTGGTTTGTTCACAGTAGGGCTGCTTTAGGGGAAAAAAAAAAGCTCAGGTGGCTGTGTCAAGGGATTAGATAAAATGAGTGCTCTGGGTTTAGAGGCTGAAAGCATGCTGTGGAGTGAGCCTACAAAATAATTTGGTTCTGGGTATAAAATGAATTAGAATAAGGAGCACTTTAGTGGGTGTGGGAGAGGGGGTAGGCAGAACATTTAGGAGGAGTGCTTGGAGCTAGCTCTGGAGGCCACCAGCAAAGTCCTAGTTGTTAGAAGGGCTGTGATTGAGAACTGAGTTGGCCATTTCCCTGGGAACAGGTTCTAGAAGGAGAGATCTTGCCAAATTCCTAGAAAGTGTGGGTGTGGCAGTGGATTTCTGTTACTGTGTTCCCATTTTCTCACTTCACTGGTGGCTTCTGGGAGTGAGGAGAAGAGCAGCATTCTACTTCCTCCTCCCTACCCCTGCCACTGTTTTATAAGGCTCAGTCAGGAAGGCTCAAGCTAACCTCTAGTATCTGTACTGCCCCTTGGGTAGGGAGACAACCCCTGCTCCCTGAAATGAAGGTTAAAGCCCTCTTGTCGCTACTTAATGATCAGAAAAAAGGAAATCTTAATTTTCTTTGTTTTTTAAACCATCTTGCTCCCTAGGTTCTATCCTAGAATTTTATTTTTCTTTGTATAAATATGTGTATATGATTTTGTCAAAAAATGGTTTTTAAATAAAATTGTAAAATATTTGTATGAAGAATAAATGGAACTAATACATCTGTAGTTTTCTACCTACTTCTTGGGGTTTTAGGGTCAAGAGAAAGATTGGAATTGTGAGTTCTCTAAAATGCTTTCCTTCCCTGAGGTTATCAGCCGAGTCCTTGAATAAATAAGAATTGACTCTTCTGGATAGTGTTTCCCAAGTAAGGTACCCTGAAGGCCCAGCTGGTACATCTGGCAAAGCCATGTTAGATGTGTTTTCTCCATAGCTTTGGCTCTAACTAGTGCAGTGGAAAGACTGGCAGATTTAGAGTCAGTCATATTACCTGTGTACCTTTGGGCGGGCCACTTGGTCCTTCAGAGGCTTTTTCCTTTTCTGTAAGAAGTAGGGATTGGATTGGGTAATTTCTAATGTTCCTAGCTCTAATTTCAATGATCTTCCCCTTATTGGTTATTCATGACCTTCCCTGTAAGCTTCCCCTAGTTTGTAATATGAGCTCTGCTGAGCAGCCAATTTCCTGGCCTGATCCCTCCGTTGTCATCACATGCTTTTCAAAGTCTGAGAACCTTCTCCCTTTTGATTATTATCTGGGTTCAAGATCCTTTGCGCCTCTGCCAGAGCTAATTTTAGATGTTCCAGTATGCCCTTGGCTGGAGCAAAGGTCAGCCTTGGAAGACTGGTTTGTGATCTTTGAACAGGTTCCTGTTTTGAGGGGGTGGGGTGGAGAGGAAGGGAAGGTAACTAACCAAGATAATCAGTCTTTAGTTATTTGCCTTAATGACTCTGAAAAAAAATTTTCAGACTTACGATCTAAATACGGAATATCCATCATTTATTTTTAGTAACATAGCAACAAAAACTCAGGAACACAAGTTCTATTTAGATAAACAATAGTTATGTCTCAGAAACCACTGCAGTTACACGATAGCTTTTTTAGAAGTCTCAAATTGTCTCAAATTCAATCATAACTAATCTTAAATTTTCAAACATAATTCCCCAAAGTTCAAGCTAAATGTGTGCAAATAAGTACAAGACCATGTAACAACTACCCAGTTGTTCATTTCTCAGTGACTATAGCATCAGATAAAAACACTGGCCAGATAAAACTTTAGCAAGTAATATCTAATGAATCCCATCCCCCGGTCTCCCCCTCTTTCTCCCCCCCCCCATTTTTGTACTTGGCTGAAGTAACTAGGGCAGAATATGTAAATAAATGATTTTCATTTAGTGGGAGCTAGAAGCAAATTATGTATTCTGAGAATTTGACTTTCAAATCTTTGAGATAAGACTATCTGGCCCTTTGCTGCTTTTGCTACATCTTTTGCTTTTACCTTGTCCCCACTTTGCCCTGAATCTTTTCCTTTGCTCTAGGATTAATCCAAGTTGGGCACTTTCCTTGTTTTTGCATCTTTTTAATTTCCAGATCCATTTTTGAGTCATCCTCTTGACCCTATTGTCAGAGTATGTTTTCTCTTTTGACTTTGCTAGATGCTACCACAGTTGCCTTCTTTAAATGCTTCCTTCGCTATCTGTTTTAAGTGTCTTTTTTAGATAATTGAGTTCCTTTGATGCATTCTTTCTCTTTCCTTGACATTTGAACAAGTTACACCTGAACCTTCCTCTTCCTTGTGTGATTCCTGTTCCATCCTTTCCACCCTTGCCTCCCCACTCCTCATTCCCACACAGCATTAACTTTTACCTGCATAGTAACACTTTCTTTTAGAAAAAAAAATTGTAATTCATGTATTTTTTTTCCATCCCCATAGTTTCCCCCTGCATCTCTCTGTTTTTCCTCCCAGAGAGCCATGCTATTTAACATTTTTTAAAGACAAAATCAGCATAGCTGATCACTGCATTGAAAAAGTTAGAAAATATGTACAATGTATGACACTTGTGGGGCCTCCCAGTTTTGCCAAGGGATGGGCTAGGAGCATCTTTCCATATCTTTTCTTTTGAGCCATGCTTGTTCCTTATAATTTTGCAATATTCACTTTTGATTTTTTGGTGGTTCTTTCCATTTACATTGCTGTAGTACTCATGCATATTGTTTCTTTCTGCTTACTTCAGTCTGCCTCCATTTCATGTAGATCTTTCCATACTTCTCTGTATGTTTTCTGTCACCCACTTCCTGATCCTTTTCCTTATTCTCTTCAGTTCCCATCTTCAACCCCCAAAATCTCAACCAAAAGCTGCCCACCCCTTTCACTGCGTACTGTGGGACAACTGCTCCATTGGCAACAAATTTGCCTTCATTTTAAATCTTTTTCTTTCCCACTCCTTCCATCTCCTGGCTCTTGCAAAGATCTGGCTCACTTGAGGCTTAGGGTGCTAGGACCCCAAAATCACAACCCGCGGGTCCTGCCTGAAAGAATTCGACCCAAGTCTTCTTTCAGCCAAAGACAAGGTTTATTAAAGATCTGTCATATTGGCCAGAATCTGAGCACCTGTGAGCTATTGGCTAGATGATAAGAATCTGAGCACCTTAATGGAGACAAGATGGATCTTATATACAGAAACACTATGGGAGGGATCTAGGAGTGGCCAGGTAGTCTAAGGGGGACTGTGAGGTAATAGAATGGCAGGGACCTGGAGAATGGCCTAGGGAGAATGGAACCTAGATGGGATTGAGGGTGGGAAGTGGCCATAGGGAGGTAAGACAATGGAAGGCTAGGCTAGTTAAGGGTTAACAGAATTGGGAGATTGGGGTAGCCACAATGAAAGGCCAGTTGATGGGATCATAGCTTCAGGGGAACTTTTCTGCGGGTCCAGATCCCAACCCCATCAACTCCTGATGACACAACTTTCCTGGCCATCCTTTCCAGTACTCGCTGAATTTTTACTCATTCCCCCCAATTCCCTTGTTGAGATGAGAGAATTAGAATATTCCTCGCTCTCCATTGCCACTTTCAGGTTCTCTCCCTGCCACTATCACTCTGTAAAATCTTCTCCTTTGAGGTTCATGAAATTCACATCTACCACTCAATCAAATTCCTGATAGCTATTGTCTACAGACCTCCAGGATACTCCCCTTCTTTCTTCAGTGGTTTTAGTTCCTAGCTTATAGTCTTCCCTCTCCAATTTCTGCCCTCAGAGTAGGAAATTTTGGCATATATGTTGATACTCCCTCAAACACTCCAATCTCCCAATTCATCAATTTGCTCATTTCCTGTAACTTTCTTTACCCCACCTTAGCATAAATAAAAATGATCATACCTTTGATCTTGCCATCATCCATAAATGCACCATTTCCATGTTAAGGAACTCTGAAATACCCTTATCTAATCAAAGTGTATTGACTTTCCACCTCTCCCTCTGCCTTCCATTACCAAACCCTGCTTTTTGTCCACATCATGACCTTCAACCCCTAGACCTCTTGGTGAGCCAGTTCAACTCTGTACTGTCTTCTTGAGTTCCTTGCCCCCTTATCATTTGGCCATTTGTGCCCTACTGAGCCTCAGCCTGAGATCACTCCCACCATCCACTGTCTTTGTTCCTATGCATGTGCTTTTGAACAAAGGTAGAAAAAAATCACAACCATCTTGGCTGGGTCCATAGCAAATCTACATTGTTACCCATCCTCAGATGGGCCCTCACTGCCGCTAGGCAATTCTTTTGCACCTACCTAATTAACTCACTATCCCACTCATTATAAGGCTCTTTCAAATCTTTTCATCCCTCCTCAAATCTCCCATAGCACTCCCTCCCCCGACCTTCTCAGTTGAGTACCTTGCCTCATATTTTACTGAAAAAATTCAGGCCAGTTTGTAAGAGCTCCCTTTTCTTCCCTCCTTATTTCAAATTAACCAAATACATTCTATCACTATCTTGTCCTTCACTCATCTCTCATAATGATGTGGCCCTTCTCCTTGCCTGCTGGTTGGGCTGGTTACTACAAATCTCTCTATATTCCATTCCATCCTCCACTCAGCCACCAAAGTAATTTTTCTAAAGTGCAGGTCCAACCATGTCATGCCCTTTTTTAATAATTTAATTCATCTCCAGGATCAAATATAAAATCCTCTGACATTCAAAGCCCTTCATAACGTAGCTCCATCTTACACCTTACCCTTCACCCTCCGCTATACCCTTTGGTCCAGTGATGGGGCCTCCTTTCTGTTCCTAGATCAAGACACTCCATCTCCTGACTTCAGATAGTTTCACAGGCTGTCCCTCACACCTGGAATGCTCTCCCTTCTAATCTCTGCCTCCTGGCTTCCTTCGAGTCCCAGCTAAAATTCTGTCTTCTACAGGAACTTTTTTTCTTTTTCTTTTTTTTTCCACTTCTTTTTTAAAAATTTATTTATTTTTAGTTTTCAGCATTCACTTCCGTAAGATTTTGAGTTCCAAATTTTCTCCCTATCTCTCTTCCCCCCTACTCCAAGATGGCATGCAATTTTATATAGGCTCTACATATACATTCATGTTAAACCTATTTTCACATTAGTCATATTGTAAAGAAGAATTAGAACCAATGGGAGAAACCACAAGAAAGAAGAAACAAACAAAAAAAGAGAAGAGAGAGAGCAAATAATATTCGACAATCTCCATACAGACTCCAAAGTTCTTTCTCTGGATGTAGATAGCATTTTCCAACATGAATCTTGCATTGCTG